TGATTTGCTCAGTTCCTAATAAGGGACAGGTTTAGGTTTGGGGTTTGGGGGCATGCCTCCTTTTAAAAATGTAAAATTTTTATATGAATGAAATTTGTACAAATTGGCCACGTTTCTTACAATATGTAAAACACATTATGTTACCTCATGAGATTGGGCTGGACTTCCAGAGGACAGCAGCAGCTTGTAAAATGAGACACAGATTCAAACTTTTGAAAAAGTGACAATTAATTATTTTTTCATTTACATACAATATAAATATTAGGTGAGGCAGTGGCGCAGTAGGTAGAGCTGTCGCCTCACAGCAAGAAGGTCGCTGGGTCGCACCTCGGCTCAGTTAGCGTTTTTGTGTGGAGTTTGCATGTTCTCCCTGCCTTTACGTGGGTTTCCTCCAGGTGCTCCGGTTTCCCCCACAGTCCAAAGACATGTGGTACAGGTGAATTGGGTAGGCTAAATTGTCTGTAGTGTGTGTGTGAATCTGTGTGTGGATGTTTCTCAGAGATGGGTTGCGGCTGGAAGGGCATCCGCTGCATAAAAAACTTGCTGGATAAGTTGGTGGTTCATTCCGCTGTGGCGACCCCTGATTAATAAAGGGACTAAGCCAACAAGAAAATGAATGAATGAATGAATGAATATAAATATTACAAATGCAAACTTTATCGGAGCAGTTAACATACAACTTATCTGGGCAGTTTACAAGCAACTTTATTGAATCGTCATTGGAGGAGCCTGTGAAAAAAACCCTCTCCAATTTTTTAATTTTTACTGCAATACAATACATATATCATTCCGAAATACGGTTCTGCACCTTTAAAGTCAATATGAAATGGAAGTTAAGTTTTTCCTTTTTACCCATGTCTTGATAAATGGATAAAAGCACTGCATATATGAGATCCACACTGATAGTCCCACCCTAAAAGACCCTAAACCCTGAGTAGGGAGGAAAGGTTATGGTATTTGTTTAAGGATTAAGAAACATAGAAACATAGCAAGACAAAACGGGCAACATCAACAAACAACACAAGACAGAGAAGTAAATAGACAAGAAACTAGGAAAGGAGGGAGAGAGGGAAAGGAGCCAAGACAAACAAGGGAGGGAAGGGAGGGCAAAGCTAAGGATGGACAGGAGGTTCAGGGATCTTGGTTGACAGAAAAGACAGGGCTACAGGAACATGAGTCCAGGTGGGGAACAAGGGATGAGTTGGAGGGACAGCCTAGGATGAGGTCAATGGGTCAGGAACTTTGGCAGGAGGCCAGGGTTTAGCCAGAGTGACAGACCAGAGAGGAGCAGGATGGGCAGAACAGAATGCCACTGTAAAGAGAGACCAGCGAGGACTCAGCGGGTCAGGGACCCTAGCAGGGGGCTAGGCTGGAGCAGGAGGGACAGTTCAGGGAGGAACAGGGACAGACCAGGAAGAAACAGGAGGGGTGACCCAGGGAGGATCAGACAGAGGAGGCAAGGCTGGAGGCTTTTGGGGCACTGGCAGGGTAAGAAGCCAGGCTTGGGCTGGCAGGGCAAGGAGTTTGGGCATTACAGGACAGGCAAGGAGCCAGACTTGGGCCAGCATGGCAAAGAGTCTGGGCATTGCAGGCAGGGAAAAGGAGTCTGGGCATTACGGGCAGGGAAAGGAGCTCAGCTAAGATAAGGGTGGTTTCACTGAACCCAAACTCCTGGACTGCTTCAAGGAGGCCTCGAGCAAATACCCCAAAGGGGTGATGATTCAGCTGCACATTTCAAACATTTTGCTTTTTGTCATCTTAAAAAATAATGTCAAACGTTGACATATGCTTTCAATGTCTTTTGTAGAAATGCTTATTTATGCTTTCATGACCTCTTGGTTAGACATTTGAAATGTATGTCTAGTTGCCCTGTACACCTAATTTACAAACTTCAATCGGTTTAAAGCTGCTAAAGTGCTTTCTAGAACTAAGAAATATGATCATATTACTCCAGTTCTTTCAGCATTGCATTGGCTACGATTACTTATCATAAAGATGTGTAATACAATTAACCTACACAGCCCAGAATGGCCTATCTCCCCAGTATTTGAGTGAGCTCCTGATGCATTACATCTCCTCATGTTCACTATACTCAATTAATTCTGGACAATTCATAATTCCTAGATCAAATCGGAACTGCTTTCTGAGTGGGGGTGGGGGATGTTTGGGCTTTTAGCAATGACATTTACATCACACTGAATTGATCTGAATTAAACTAAACTACAACTTTGACAGCTGGTTTGCTTGATTTATCTTCCTTTTTGAATCAATCCCAGAAACAATTTTCTTCAAGAATATTTAAAAAAAAAAAAAATCAGGAATGTCACATAACACAGAGATTTTAGGCATCACAGTGGCTCAGTGGTTAGCACTGTCGTCTCACAGCAAGAAGATCACTGGTGTGAGTACTGCCTGGGCCAGGAGGCACTTCTGTGTAGATTTAGCATTTTCTCTCCATGTTCATGTGGGTTTCCTCCAGGTGCTCCGGTTTCCTCCACAGTTTAAAGACATGCGGTTTAAGTAAATTGTGTAAACAAAATTTGTAGATAACGGCTCTCAATATGGATTGCTGCAGTCTCAAAGATTAAGAAATGGCTTTATAACCCTTTGTCACGCAAGTCTTATTTAATTGATTTCTTGATTGCAGGCAGGTGTTGCAGCTATCAGGTCTGGGTATGGTGAGAAATTGAACTTAGGTGTAATAAACCAGAGGTAAATGATGCTTTAACAAGAGTTCCAAACACTTTTTCACACAAGGCTAAGTAGTGTTGTATTTTGTTTCCATTAATAATACAAACCATAATTTTTAAACTGCATGATGTGTTTACTTGTGTTATTTTTGACTACTGTTTACATTTGTTTGATGATCTGAAACATTAAAGTGTGACAAACATGCAAAAAAATTTAAATAAAAAAATAAATCAGTAACTTATCAGTAATCTTAACTGGTCTTAAGCTGCGGTCACACTAGAGTTTGTGTGTGTGAAATTCTGTCCTACTGCGCTGCGAAAAGGGAAAAATTTTTGTCCAGAGAGGTCATGTCATCGATTGGTCTCATGCAGTCAAGTGATGCGAATTCGAAGGTCAGAGTTCACCAAGCAGCCTGCGAAACTTGACGCATGACCTTGCGTTTATGATCTGACACATTTGCATGCATATGAATGGAAATTTATGGGGAGACAAGTCCAATGTAACCACAGCTTTACTCATATTAGAATTTCTTTGGTAACACTTTACTGCAGAAATGCATTTACTATTATGAACAAACTATAAACAATACATTTACTACAGTATTTGTTCATGTTAGTTGACGTTAGTTAATGAAAATAAAATTGTTCATTGTAAGTTTGTTTACTCAGTGCATTAACTAATGTTAAGCAAGTAAGAATTTGGATGTTAATAATGCTTTAGTAAAATATAAATGCTGTACATGTATTGTTCATTATTAGTTCATGTTAGTAAATGCATTAACTAATGAACCTTATTGTAAAGTGTGACCATTTCTTCTATATTTCATCCCTATTCACAATTTATACATCACATTTTTGCATCAGACCCCTTTTAGGTCTATAATTATGAATTGATTTATTTACTTATTGGGATGAGTGTAATATATTTTCTTGCTTTGTTATATTTAATTTACTAAATGAATGAATCAGCAGTCTTATTTCAATGTTCTGTGAGAAAGCCAATATGCTAATTGTGCCATTCCATAGCTCTGACAAGAATGAACTCCTATGCATAATGATTATACCTTCACACAATTTCAAATACAGCAGATGACGAAGTGATAGTAAATGAGCATTTTTCCGGTTATATGCCACGTTTTCTTCTTTTTTGAAAGTGGCAGAATCTTAATAGTATACTTTTTTGTCTCGCTGTTGGAGCAAAATATACCTTTGTACACAAGCTGTTTCATTTATCCTGCTATTGTTTTTTCAGTGTTTCATATTCAAAAATATAAAAAGGATCCAGTTTATAACAATTGAGCAGACTTGCTGACTCTTTTTTTATTTTATTGTTATTATACTTATTTTGCTGTTGGTACTTTGAATCCAAAAATTTTATACTGCTTTTTTATTACCCACAGCAAACGAAACAACCATAAAAATGAAGGTGACTTTTATATTCTGTTTAGCTTTTATCTCTTAATATTAGTAATTAAGGGAAATTTCGTGTTAGTCTCACATTCCATGCTTCTCTGGTTCTTTATAGCGTATAACAGGGTGTGTGATTGGCTGAGGCTTCAGTCCACCTTCATCAGATTCCATTTTACCGCATGACTGGACCGTATCGAATTTCTGATACTCAGGTCCAAACAGTGACCCACTTACCATCACCTGCCTTCTGTTATCTCTCTCTTCTCTATTATTTTCCTTCATGTTAATTTAAACTATCAGCTTGTTTTATTGATACAACTGCAATAAAATGTTCAATAATTTTGAAAATCCATTCATGTTTTTTTGCAATCTACTATGGCATTATTGGAAACATTTTAATAGTGGGGGAGACACTGAAGAAATAATAAAAATAATTTATTTATCCACCCTCTTTTTTAAAATCTCCTGCCTCTAAAATCTTTCCTCTTCCATACAGCAAAAGTAAACAGTGATGAAATAGTGCCCATTATGTGCCAAACTCCGAAAAGGACAAAACACCATTAAATTATGTCCTTTGGCTATTTTTAAGTCTTTTATGTGTTTTGTGTGAGAAGCAAACATTTACTACATGAAATTAACAAGTGGTTTTTGCATAAGAACAAACTTATTAAGAAAGTTACATCAAACTTAAGTGTGATGACAAACTTTTTTTTTTTTTTTTTACATTTTAGTGATATAATATATATATAGCGAGGCATAATTCTATGAATAAAATAAATATATATATATAAAAAACTATAATAAAAACAATTACTTTGGGTAACAAAAAAAAAACATTTTAATAACAGGTTTCGTGTATTTATGGTCTAGTTAGCAGTACGTCGTTCTCCTAATGATACCATTACGCCTCTCCAGCGCATCTTTGGGTGTGAACGCAACGACATCTCCGCCTTTCGCGAAACCCCCTCCTTTCCTGAGCTGAGTATCACATTCACACAGTAACTCCATAGATCACTCCTCATACACCATCCTGCTCAAAAATAATAAAGGACGTTAAAGAAAAGACCTGACAACAAGGCGAGCAATGCTATCTTCTGACAATGCCTCATCACCACCTTTGAGAGTGAAGCAGGATGAATTTCATCTTCTACACATTTCTGGCATACTTTTATTTGGGATCGCAAATCTTCCTTCTCCATACTCTCCTTCTACTCCAGCCCGCTCATTCTCACCCGCAGCCCTGTCACATCCTAGCGCGGATAGGACACACCGTGCGCCTGGGTGCGCTCCTGCCTCCCCGCCAGTCGGTCCGGGTGCGGGCGGCTCTCCACCGCGCCCTCAGCGGTCTCGCCGAAAGCGGCAACAACTTTCTTCCGTACAACTTGAGCCTGGACGTGGTGGCTCGAGAAGCCCAGAGCGGAGACCCCGAGTCGCTCTTCAGGTGTGTGTGTCAGGATATTGTGGTCCAGGGGGTCTCGGCTGTGCTCGCCTTCCCTCAGACGCAAGAGGAAATAGTACAAATGGAATTTATGTCTTCTTTTTTGGAAATCCCTTTTATAAGCATCATTGAGCACGGAGAACCCCTCAAAACTCAGGTAACGCGTTTCATATAAGCAGCAAACATGATGCTGTTTGTGTGTGCTGGTTTGTTGACTTTGTTTACGAATGTAGTTCAATTTTTTCAAATTAGAATACTTGTGACGCGCTTTATGCGCAAATAATGTGCAGGACTTTTATTCATCTGTTAACTGGCTTTAAAACAAATTAATCGGTTAGTTACTGGGATTTGGTTATCGAAAACTTATTTAGCCTTAAATCCCAAACACGCTCTCAAGGCAGCAAAAACACTTTGTACATTTGTATGTGTGTTTAAACATAGCAAAACTGTTTTAAACAACGTTTTCTTTAAAAAAAATGCAACAGTTCACTGTTCCAGAACTTTCCATTTAAATTACAATTTTGCAGTGCATAGACAAAATTTGACATGATGAATTTATAGATGAAGGTTATAATTTTTTTAAATACAATCTTTTTATATTTAAAACATTTGAAACATAATTACTGCTAAGACAACACTATAGTTGCTCACCATTTTATTTAAAAATTATTTCACATATTATATTCATTTTTCTGTCTATCTCCAAAAGTTTGACAAAAGGAGACAATCTTAATTTATCAGGATATTTCTTATGATGTTGTGCATAGAACAACTGGTTACAAATGAGGCTGAAATGTGGGCATTACATTGGTTTTATAATAAACACCTTGTGTCATGACCTTGAACAAAAGGCTTTGACTGAATGATATGTCACTACCCTGATACTCGCTCTAAATGCAGTTTTGTATCGGATTGACAAACCTAAAAACCAGCATATATTCAAATAACTAAAATTAGCATTAAATACAATATAGATTATTTAAGACTTTAGGCTCGTCCTTGACAATGAGACCCAGAATGTTGTATAGATATATATTAAAAATATTAAAGTTGAATAATCCCTCGAGTTGATTAATTTGATAAAACAACACAAGACTCAAGGCTTATTATAATCACCTTTAAGTGCTAGTAAAACAATTTATATAAAGCCACCCAATTAACCACCATGCCCTCAATTTGTGTGCTACCCAAAATGACTTGTACAATTCGGTTTCATTTTATTTTTCTTTGATGTCAAGGGAGATTCATTTCTGCGATAGTGGCTTCACTCTGAGAAGGCAGCTTGAAGTGGAATAGCTGATCTTACCCTCAGGTCACAACAACAGATCTCCACGGCGTGTGTTAGGTTTGTGTTTTGGACAGTTGTGATGCCCCTTCTCTCTAAGAGAAAATGCTTTTTTACCGACAGGTGTGTTCCCTGAAGCAGAAATATATGCCACATTGCATAACACTCAGTCAGGTACGTCATGTGCCGAGACAGTTTCTGAAACATCAGTGTCAAATGAGATGTTCTGGTAAAATGCTGGAGTAAATGATACGGCCTGGAACACATCAGATGGGGAAGATGACATTTGCGTGAAGCAGCTGTGCTTTATAATTGTTTGCACATAATTGTATCTCCCTCCTTTGTTGATTGTCATGTTTGATTCTGAATTGTTGGCATACATAATGACACATAATAGAGTTCATTTGAGTATATTGGATACTTTGCACCTGCTTTGGCTTCGGAGGGAAGCTTCATGTGCTGGTGTATTTGGCATGCGCCGCTGGCTGAAAAGTGCTTACATCACAAGGTACTTTAAGAAATTAAAAGAGGGGGAAAATACCGTAAATCTTGCAGGCAGCTGGGGAAACGCATACATTTGTCTTGTGTAATATCCATCCATTAAAATCACTTTTGGGGCTTCTTAACTACTATACAATTATTTCAGTGGTCCAATAAAAATCAGCAATCACTCCTCTTAAATGGAAAGACTTTGATTTTATTGTTTGAGAATAAACCAGTACCTATGGAAGATGTGAACATGATGTCAATGATTATAGCCTGTTTGAGTCATGATGCTGATATCGGACAAGTGTCACACGGGATCACGCAATGACAGATCTCAGTGTAGGCTGTAAACCTCTGTCCATGTCCTTCTGCAACCTGCCAATCAGTGTAAAAGCTCAGGGCACTCTGCTCTAGTGTGTCACATCGCTCCGGCTAAAATAAAGGCAGGCTGATAATAGGGCTTGTGAAATTGCTGCTGCTGGAATGCTTATGGGACGCTCCAAGCCGCTTGGATCCTGCTTCACTTGATCTGCTAATCTTACTGGTTGCGAAAAAATGTGTGCACTTCTGCAGACCGGCTTTTGCCTTGTGTTGTGTTCATCAATTGTTACAGCTTCATGTGGAGCTGCACACAGGGCAGTCATGCAGTGCAAGTGTTTTTTTAAACTCTCTTTGTTTTATTGCTCAGTTTGGTTTGTTGCAGTTCTGCCATGTCAACTTTAAAGCTTTAACTTGTGTTCTCGTGTTAGGGATCTGAAAGACCCCAAGGCCTTTTAAATGACCTCAAAAAGAAACAATGCTACCACCAGTGGATGACAATGGCTTTCTAATGGAGTGCATGCTCACTTTATAATACAATAGAGAGGAAAAGCTACTGTAATCCTAGTCTTCTGGCTTTAGATCAGAGGATTGCATTGAAAGAATCTAATGGAGGCAGCTAATTGGTGCTAAATCCTGCCTAATATGTGTCAATTTTTCCTACTAAAATCATGGTGTTACCAAAAAGCAATATTTTTTTTTTCCTCTCACACACACACACACACACACACACACACACACACACACACACACACACACACACACACACACACACACACACACACACACACACACACACACACACATATAATATATATATATATATATATATATATATATATATATATATATATATATATATATATATATATATATATATATATATATGTATATATGAGCAATATCACACAAGTAGTCTTTGGCTGTGTCCGAAACCGCCTACTACTCAGTAGGTACTGCATTTGAATTTAAACGTACTACTTGGCCGTTAGAAAAGTACATTCTATACAGTTTGAATGTAAAAAGTATGAATGGAATTCAGATGTACTACATCAGCCATTTTGACATAGTCATGTGACGTACCTGCGTAACTTGCGTTGCTTCACTCCCATTCATAAATTCGCTCGCGGGACATCATGGGATAGCGCAGCATGCATGGGATGTGCACTTCAGAATTTAGCCGGAAGTAGTAAGTCATCCGGGTACTTCTCGCATACTGTTTTTCGAATTCTATGAATTCGGACATACTACTCGGCTCACATACTGATTTTAGCATACTATATAGTGTGGAAGTATGCGGTTTCGGACGCAGCCTTAGTGTCCCACCAGTGACGATGTACAATTAGAAGCAATAATATTATGTAGTTCTTGAAAATATTCTGCAGCCGACAGTGCTGCATAATATTATTGTGCCTTCTGAAGTCAATGGAATGGCACACTACAGAAGAGTTAAGTTTAAAATAGGAAAATTGCATAAATTTTTTTAGATGGTCTTTAGACTGAAAACTCAACTGTTTAACGCTATGTGACTTGTTAAATGAGTCTATTTTCAAAGTATTCCTTTGATTAACAGGCTTCTACAACACAAGGACGTTTACATTACTGTTTCTTCGTTGTCCCGTCTGGACTCACATTCCAGCTCTACTTGTATGAACTCGATTAAAACAACAAATGTTCTTTCTTGTCTTTAATTTGCAGTATAAATGATAAAGGGTGACCAGAGGGAATGCCATAAAATGAAAGAGAAACCCAGCGCACAGACCCAAAACACAAAGCTCTTTATTATGTAGAGTCTATATCTATACAGCTGTAGCAGTGTCATGCTGTGAAAGTATGCTATAAAGACCTGCATAAAGTGAGCTTCCACTGACTGTTGCACAGCTCCATAAAAGTGTCGCTTTATTTAATCACAGTTTAACACCATACGATTTATTACAGTTCTATAAGAGAATTGTAAACTGACAGCTTGGTTTTATTGTTTATACTCAGGCAGCTGCAAGAGGAGTTTTTTTGTACTTTTTGACTGGTACTGAAATTTATAGTTTGGACTTAATGAAACATTTAATATGTATATACAAAAGTAAAATATCATGAAGTTATTTGTATGAATGTAGATTTGTAATTTTAGCTGTACATTATTTAGATTTATAGGTAATTCAAAGCAACCTCCAAACCTTCAAGGGGTGGTAGAAAATTTATTTTTGAGGCTTGGTTGTGTTCATAAGATGCAAAGCAATGTGCTCATGCTTCATATGTAAAAAAAAATTGTGTTATTTTTTCAGATATCTTACTTTGATTATATACTGCTACTCAGCTAAGCTGAAAACGACTATCACATTTCCTAGACTTGTTCCTCTGAAAGGCCCGTCCTCAAGAGGCTCTGATTCGTCAGCTAGCATAATGTGCTGTGGATTGGCTCTACGTCAACCGGAAAAGTGGCATGCCCCTACAAGCACGTGCTTTTGCACTGTGTAAATGCTGTCAGTCAGAGTAGCTGTTGGCCATATCAGTTTGTGCCTGAATAAGACAGAAAATGACACAGAGGACACAAAACCTCACGCCTGCTCTCTAAAATAAAATCTGACAAGTGTCTTTCACATATATTTGGAATAGGCATATGTAAGTAATATGAAACATTCACAAATCTTTTGCAAGTTTGTTATTTGAGATGTAGAGGGCAGGGAAAGCGACAGCATAAAAAGACACTACAGCGAAGATTGTGGGCGTTTACAGGGGTTTGATTGCTAAAAATGATTTTGTAGCTAAATTGTTACGGTGCCAAACAGCATTTCCCATTGTTTAAGCTAACACTAACCTTCTGTTTTGTGCTAACGTTAACGCTGGAAAGTATGTATGTAATAGATCAATTTTAACAAATAAACATACTTTTAAGTTGTGGCTCATAATCCACAGCTTCTTCTATTATGGTTGAAGCTGCTTATTTCAGGAGTTTTTAGACGTATGCAGCACTGAACTGGGAGAGATTCTGAAAGCTGTCCTTTGTCAAATGCTAGCTATATCTTTATTATAATTCTCTGGAACTTAATTACAAATTACATTGCACAAGC